GTTAATTCACAAGCATTGAAGAAAGACTAGTTCAAAACATTCGATAAACGAAGCAAGATTGAGTGAAATGGCACAAAGTCCTTCAAGAGTTATTTATTTATATCGCATGGTTGGCGTCTTGATGGTTATCACTAGCCCTTTAGTTGTCTTTAGGCTTCACAGAGGGGAAGGAAAATCAAAGTGGAAAAAAAGTCGAGAGGGGGGAGGGGGGGCAGAATTGTGCTTCAAATATGGCATAGAGTGAGGTGATGGTAGTTTGAAGTGAGAAGTCAACTGCCAGTTAATAGACTTTTTTGCCGTATACGTTGCCCACGGTGCACCACGTGGAGGTAAGTCTATCGCACACCCCAGTCCTTCAAGAGTAATAAAGGTAAAACAGGTGGAACATAGAAAAAGTGAAAGGGTGCAAGTGTCTTGTCATGATGGCTTCTTCCAACATTTAATTTGACTATATCTCGGGGTCTAAATCTCATTAGTCCTCTGTGCTTTCAAGTGACTTATCTCCTATCGGTTACCAACTTAGTTTACCTTCAAAATTACAGTAACGACGCTTATAGTGTCTTACGATCAAAAATCCTGCAGTAAGGTGAGACCGAGAACAAGAAGAATAAATAGAGAACAGGCAGAAATATTTTTCTTCAAGGAATTCACTGAATTTACAGAAGCCTCATCTCAAATGATTGACAGGTAAAGATTGAAACGCAATTCCCTCTAGACCTTTTCTTAAGACAAGGCTCACTCATTGTACGTGACAAAAATAAAAGATGCCATCCTTATTAGATCCGAGACAATTTGTTGTCAACCTAAGCTATCTTAGTCCGCTTAGTTGATCGTCCAAAAAAATAAATTCAAAATGGTGCTTTTACGATTCAGGTATTATTGAAGTGAGAAGGTAAGGAAGGATCTGTGAAAAGGTATACTTCGGCAAAATTTAACATAGACTGACAGTAATAAACAGAAACTTATAACTGCCTGTAAGCTTACCCTGTACAAATGAAGTGTCCTGAAGTTATCTCTCTTAATTGGGGTGCGCGATAGACTTACCTCCATGTGGTGCACCCTGGGCAACGTATACTCATACGGCGAAAAAGTCCATTTTTCGGCAGTTGACTTCTGGCTTCTAACTACCAACACCCCACTGTATGTCATATTCGACTACTTCCACAGTACTCACCTCACCTTTTTTCTACCTTTGTGTCTGTCTCTTACATCTTTGAAACACTCTTCTGTTCCCCCTCCCCCCTCTCGACTTTGTTCTACTTTGATGTTCCTTCCCCTCTGTGAAGTCTGTGGTCATCTAAAAGGCTAATGATAAATGTCAAAACACCTGCCATTTGATATAAATAAATCTCTCTTAATTAATTCTAAGATTAGCAGTCTACAGTGAGATTAAACTAATCTTAGTAGGTCAAATATTACTTTCGTTAGAATAAAAAAAGATTGATTGTATGTCATTGGAAATAAATAGAAATATAATCCCAAATGATTACACAATGCTACACAATTGACTAGGTCATCCAGCTGTTAGTTTCGTCGCATAAAACCAGGTTAAGTTGCATGGGTAAAATATAGGAAAAATAAAGATCACAAGCTGTATATTTTTTAGCATGGAATGTGAACTCTAAATTGTCATAGGAGCGAAATTCAAATTTACTTTGCTAATGCTGATCGGAGGACTAAATTTATAAACTGTTGTCGTATTTATATCAATAAAAGGGAAAAATCTCTAAAATGCTAACCATAACTTCAGAAAAATGGTTGCATATTATGGATAAACTATAGCCAAATAGAGGAAAATCAGAACTTGAAAAAGAGCGAAATAGGGTCAATGAAACAGAAAAACTATAACTTATTTAAGTTGAGAAAAATCCCACCAACCGCTAAAGTAAAGTAAATTTATCAAATCTGAAATCCAACTTTGTCATAAAGTTACAAAATTAGAAACAGGCATGCAGTATATTATTTTGGCGGAAAATATGAAGAAATACATGAGTATTATAAGAAAATAGTTTAATTTTCTTGATTTTAAAGAATAATTAGAGATTATCAATATAAAACAATGTATAAAATAGAAATCAATGAATTGTCGTATTTGGAACAGAAAGGCACGCAAATTATGATGTGTTTAAGCTCTGGTCATCGTCTGTGCACATTTTGCGGAATTATAAACGGACGAATTAGATGCAAATGTTATGGCGGATTAATTCATATATTGACACAATGTAAGGGGTTTTAATTTTATTGATTGACAGCTGGATTCTTCTTGGTTATATATGAAATTTAATTGTAATTAGAATTAATTGAATAAGACCATTTTTCCAGATTGATATTTCAGTTGATTTGCTAAAATTTTAACGATCATTTATTCACATTTTTATTTTTGTGAAAAGTTCGATAATTTATTTTTATCTCAACTGTTTCCTCTCTTCAATATAGTTTTTTGCGTATTTTGAATTTTGTATGGGCTCTTTAGATTTTATTTTCAACAATGGCCCTTATCGACTACCCTTCGAGCGAAAGCGAGGAAGAGTTTCAAGAAAGATTGAGTCCTGTTCTACCTTCCTTTTCCCTTGACATTGAGGGTGACAGAGTTAGATTCCTTGAAACAGACCGAAATTTCAATCCTGATGGTCGTGTACGAGGCTTTTCTCACCAGCATGGCAACTGGTCTACATCACTTTATATTCCTGGTAAATGTTTTTGTTTGATTTTTAACACCTTTGAATGTAACTCACCTCAACAGTGATGTTCATTTCAGCTACTGAGTCGCTTACATGTTTTTTACATACACTTTTGGAAAGTGTGAACTCAATACTCTCTCCAGACAAAAAGGAATTTCATACTTGTGGTGATTTTCATCTCTCTTTATCAAGAACTTGGCCTATTCTTCATCATTGGATTACAGGATTTGAAAACGCAGTTCGTGACATTGTTTTTAAGTACCCACGACCACTTATCAGACTCGATAAGGCTGAATTTCTTGTTAATGATGAGGGGACTCGGTAAGGTTTTGTATTTCTCTCTATTTGCTTAGGTCATTTCTAGTTGTTTGCGCCGAGAAGTCGGATTTATTGCTTAATCTGTTGGGCGATATCGATCCAATTGTTGTTTCTTATCGCGGCGAACCTTACTATCAGGTTGGTTGGTGTAAGAATTTTCACATTTTTTTTTCGTAGGACCAAATTTTCCATTTTAGTCTTTCCTGGTGTCTTGGAGATGTTAACAATACAGTTTCGGCGAACTGGAAAAAGACTTGTCTTGTAAGCTTATTTTATGTTTATATTTTCGAGATTTCAATCAACAAAATTTTCTTAAGGTGAATTTTTATTGGCTTCAATATAGTTATCTCATAATATGTTCATGCTTTTTTTTCTATTAATATCTTCAATATTCTATATTAATTTTAAAATTAATCCTGATGTAATCCAGTGGCTGGAAATGTATCTTCAAACCACTGGCATTCTAAAATGTTTATGAATAATCTCGAAGTTGTTCTCCGACAATTATGGCTAAGTATAGACCAGTATTTACTGAATACGGCAATGGATCTATTCCATTTCAAAGATTTCGTTTAATTATTTGCCCTCAACACGTAACTCAACTTTGTGGCTGCACTTTTTCCATCCTCACTTCCAATTAGATCTGCCTGATCATTGTTTATTTATTTATTTCAAATAACTTTCATTCTAGAGTTTTTATTAAGTAGAATTTTGTCCTGATTGTTACCTAACTGACGGTTGATTTCCTTGCCTTAATTTCTTTCTAATAAATACTATCTTTTCATATTAAGTAGCAATTCATATTTTGCCAGGTGAAGTGCAAATTGTAGATTTATACATATTTGCCATTGTTTTTTTTTTACTTTTTGTTCTTTGAACTACGTTTTCTGATTATTTTGGAAGCGTTCAATTGTAGTGGAATCTGACCTTCAAAAGCTAAGGCTTGCATGCATTTTCATTTTCGTGATTTTTTCCTGGTTACAGAGTTCATCAATTTTAAGGATTACCACTGACATCTTTATGATTATAGGACTCTTTACAAGAGTGTTGCTATAACCCTATTAGCCTTCCAAATAGTCACAAATGGAGCAGTTTAAGAATCACCAATTTTGAGCGTAATAAAAATAGATCCTTAATTTTTTTCTAAATAAAAATTGTTCCTGTTTTTCCAAAATATATCAGCAATGTTGTCTCTTCTATTAGTGAATCTAGGGAGTGAAACGTTCTAAGCTAACTTTTCTTCCCTATCTCTGAATAACTTAGTCCCTATGATACTTCGGCATCTTCTTCTTTTCTTCAATAGATGGCTCAGAAGCATTATTATTGCTTAAAGTAGTAGCACAAGTATTATAATTGTGTAATTGTGGGAGGCAATTGTCATCAACCTAAAATGAATTTAATACGAGAGAATATTTGATTTTCTGGGCTCGAGTTTTACTGTATTTGATGGGCAATTCTCGTTCCAAAATTCAAATTTTGCACCAAATGCCCGTCTAAGATATGCAATCCTAATTGGATTGGATTAGATTTTATCACCCAATTGAGGAGAGTTAGTTTTAGCGTTTTAGATAAGAAGGTAATTAATGTTGTGCGAAGATGAGGTGGATTAGAATTTTAGGTTTGTAGATCTCGCTAATCTCTTCTCTCTCTAAGTGGACACAGGATGGAAAATCCAAATAACGGGATTTATCTTTTCCCAGTTTTAAATTGAATTTATAGTTTGGGAGATTAATTAAATTAAAGCTGCGCTTTATATTAATCCAGATTGAGTACGATGTGCGGATTATAAATGAATCTAATTTCAATAGTGATTATACATATTTTGTGTAATAAATAAGCCCGAACTATTTCGAGGGTAAGTCAATTTACGGGTATATTTGGTTAATTGACTTTGAAAGGATTGTTTCGGTCAAGTGACTAGAAATATACTTGAAGGTGGTTTAAAATACGAAGTTGGTTGGTATTTTTCGGATTGAGATATATCAAATGACAGGCCTTGTGTTAGTTATCATTATCCCTTTAATTGACTTCGTGCTTCACAGGGGGGCGAGATATCAATTCACAAAAAGTCGAGGGGGGAGGGGGGGGGGACAGAAGAGTAATTCTCAGATGTAAGAAGCAGACAGACAAAAAAGTAGAGAAGGTAAGGCGAGGTGAGTTCTGTGGAAGTGCTTGAATATGACATACAATCGGGCCATTGTAGTTCGGGATCAACTGCTGGTTTATAGACTTTTTTGCCGTATGAGTATACGCTACCCAGGGTGCACCACGTGGAGATAAGTCTATCCTCACCCCTGTATTAAGATATTGTAACGAGTTTATTATAAATTGCACGTTACAACCTACCATTGCATAATCTGCACCTGTACTTGGTATTAATTTTTTGAATGTCAAAAACCGCGAATCAATGTCTTAGGGAACATGCATTGTCTCTGAATAAAAATGATTTCATGCATGTAGTCCCACTATTTTTATCTCATGCTTATTATTTGCAAGACTTATGCTGTTTATTTCTTATCTTGGC